GCACATTTATTCATCATTCATCATCTCCTATTAGAACCCTACCTATTTTTGAAAGAAAGTTACATTTCTAGTCTACATTATGCACCGAAATGAACCAAACCACGATGGCAACTTTTTCTTCATGTTCAGAAAGCGGGAGTACATAAAAGGATGGAATTATTGTAATGAAATTACATTGACATAATCTGTGTGAACAGTAAACATATCTACTGGTATGTTTCTGAGTCAATGCAATAGAGTATGTCCTCTCCCCCCTCCCTCCTTCCCTCTCTCTCTCCCCTAATATTAGGTTTTATACCTAGCCTATGCTGTGGACGTAGTATTAATCCAAACAGGCATTTAGGGGCTTTACCAAAGGGCTAAAGCAGGGAATCCAGTGAAAGGATTAATCCATAACTTTCTCATATTTCGTCTAAAAAAATATGTGTCTCATATACCCTAACATGAAATATTAACCATCAGGAACTAGACTCGTCATCATGCTTTCTCACATCACTTAAATGCCAATCTAGCAACCAAATGCAATAATATGTCCATTGAAATCCAGGAAGCAGAACTGGGACTGGTTTTGCAGAGTGACAAGTTGGAAGGTGTGGGCTACACACTTGACAGGGAAAACAAATGTTGACCCAGCTAGAGGGCTGATCATAGAACTTAAATCCAACTATATTTCAGTCTGCTCATATAGAACAATGAAAATGGTGAGCATTTTAAAAGAATACATGTGTGAAATAAGGGGCATATGCATGTTTAGGGTCTCCTGCAGACACAAAAGCTTCAAAAAGCTCATTGAAAATAATCTGTGTTATTTATTATATGTCTAATTGAACCGATAACCAGTGTTCTCTAAGTGGATTAATGCCACAGAAATAGTTTTAAATTAGGTCTTGGGATTTCTTACTGTGTATATGCTGGTATATAAATGGATTTTAAATTATGTGCAGTATTGGAATTTTTAGTTTTCGGAAACTGTCCAGAGAGCTTTGGCTATGAGACATTATGAAAATAGAATAAATGAAAAATATAACATACAATGCAAATAGTTAAATAATACCATGTACTGCAAACCAACAATCAGCACAGGAATTTATAGAACCGTCATTAAAATCTATTGCTAGGTCTCTAAAAAGTCTGTAAGAAAAAATGGTCTTTGCATGATACCCAAAAGTTAACAAAGTAGATAAACTGGGATGCACATTTCATACTTGGGCGGAGGGGTGAAACAGGACTTCTTGTAGCCACCCTTCTAGCTTTGATCACCTCAAAGAATGCCTTCGAAGGTGACCTAAGGGTCCAACAAGGTATATATGGGAGGAAGCACTCCTTCACATATTCTGCTCTGAAGCTGCTAAAAAATTCTGCACAAACCCCAGTGCTTTAATTGGGCTCAGATGCAAACTGGAAGCCTGTGAAGCTTAGAAAGCATTTGCATCACATGATCTTATCAACCAGTCCCTTTAAAACCTCTGTTTTAAACTGACTGAAGTCACTGATCCATCTTCAAAGGGAGCGCTTTGTACAACACATCGTGGTAATCCAAACAGAAGCTACCTGGCCATTGATAACTACTGCCAAGCTATCTCTGTGCACTGCATCCCTTAACAATTTGCATTCCATTTAAGCTTCTGGTCCCAGCTTTGGTGCCACGTGCCACCATGCCCAGCATCCCTGTGTTAATTCTGCACAGGGGAAGCTTAACTCAGGCTATCTACCCCAATTCCTCTACATCAGCACTCTGGTCTGGGGTAAAAACAAATGCAAAAGAAATGGAGAAGGCTAAGGACGTATTTTTTCTTCTTTTCTGAAAGATGTGTAGATCTACATTTAAATCCTCAGAAGGGAAAGGAGATCTTTCATTCATCTGATCCTTGTGCATTCTTTTCACCTGTGTACCTAGGTGTCATAGAAGGGCTTTCCTATCTCTTTTAAAGCATGGCTCAGCCGTCTGGTATTATTTAACAAAGCAGAGCTCTTCTGATAGTGCCAGCCTTAGACGAGCACAGAATTATGCATGGTGTGGAGAAAGGGGAGAAGGAAATGTTTTTCTTCCTCTCTCATAAGACTCGAAGCCAGAGTCATCCCATGGAGCCGACTGGTGAGAGACTCAGGGGAGCTGAAAGGAAACACTTCTTCACACAGTATATAGTGGATTCATTCCACAAAATGTAATGATTGCCCTCAGTGGAAATGGCTGTAAAAGGGGATTGAGTAAACCCATAGAAGAGAAGGTTATTAATAGCGACTGATCTGGATGGCTCTATGTCACCTCTGGGAGTAGAGGCAGTGTGCCAATGTATACTGGTTGTGGGGGACCTCGGGCAGCAGCATGCTTCTGCACTCATTTCCAGCTTGCGGGACCCTGTTTGCCTCTGGCTGTAAACAGAATGCTGGACTGGATGGATCACTGACCCAATGCAGCATGGCTCTTATGTTCTTAACCTTAGAAACCCCAAACCTGATTTGAAGAATTAAAGAGGACAGAGAATCTATTCAAAATGCTTTGGGAAAGCCTTTAAAGCCTTTACTTGTTTTCTTACCAGGGTTCCAATTAGATCAGAGTTTAAACATTCTTTCTAGCTTGCTGGGCAGTTTTTTTTCTAAAAGTATTTTGTTTACCGACAGAAGAACATGTTGCTAGTGACTTTTAAAAGGTCTTCCTGCTGCGAGCTCATACGTTAAATGCTGACCCATCTTGTCATCACTCAGTCACTTTATAGTCTTCAGTTCTGCTCCTCAGGTGGTGGCACAGTGAGAATCCTACATTGCCTGATACTATGATTAGAGTTGGTAAGAAGCTTCCCACCGTTAAGGCCCCTCTTAATTGTCTCTGTATTTTTCTACATACACATCAAAGGTGTCACAAAGATGGCCAGTTCAGGATGCAAGGACTTACTGTGAACCAGTGCAGATGTTTTCACATCTCCATTTAGTCAGAAACATATTAAGCGGTCTTGTGAAAAAATAATCCCATATTTATTACCTTGATTTCCTAAACACACCATGGAGATGGATCATCCAGAAGAGCATACATGGAAAAATGTGAACATTTCACAAGATTTGATAACTCATATCCAGCCTGATCTGTTCTCATGGATAGCATGCTCTTATATAACCAGCAATGGATTTATCAAAAGAGGCCAAACAGTTTCTGACTGCCCAAATGAATTCATTCTCTGGAACTGAAAATAGGATGTATTTAACTAAAAAATAATTTGCAGAGATGTAGTCACATGTGTCTGCTGCAAAGCCCCGTCAGCCAGCCACTGCCCTGACTTCAAAGTGTCCATTTGTTGAATAAAGGGACTTGAACAGAAAGCAACTGAATTGTAATTTAGCAAGTTCAGGTCTCTCACCAGAATCAAGGTAGTGGTTTTGAGCCAGAGGTAGTCATACTAAGAGTCAATCTGTTGAAACCAATGGGACTTGAATTAGTTATGACCAACTTAAAGCCCATAATTTCAATGGGTGTGCTCTAAATATGACTAATTCTGGATCTAATCCAAAGGACCAATTGCATGAGTAAATTTGCTTGTCATTGCCACACAGCTGGCAACTGTAGTTTGTGAATGGTCACTGTCATTATTTCACCCTTTGATTTAAGCTTTAATGTAATTGTCACATTACATTAACTGTCTGCATTTCACTTCCCTCTGACTTTACTGCTCACATCTTTCTCTTATCTCCATGTGTATATATACCTGCTAACTTGGATAAGCCCTTCACACATTTGATGATAGATGATGGAAATGGCTTATGCCATAATGTATTTCTTAATCTTTTACAGGGAACAAGACTCTTCCTTGTTTAAACCACAAATCAAGAAATTGCTGAAATTCTGTTCTATAGGGAAACTTCTATGCGTAGAAATTACCTTTGGATGAAAAAGCAGAATTTTGCATACACATTTATTCCAGGCCAAACTCCATGAATACAGTTGTTTCTAAAAATGCCCCCCCTCCCCATATACACATGGAATTTAAAGAAAAATGTGTTTGTGGGACAGGAAGTTTAACCACCCCATCACCATGTCACCAATCCAGACAGATGTAAACCTATCCCGCATAGCCATGTATGATTATCAGGAAGCTTCATTCATCCACATAGGCCATTTGCAAATATTTCAAGCAATGTGGAGATGCCTGGTGGGTCTGGAGATCAAATAGGAACACCTGGTGGGTAGATATAATCACATTTCCACATCACCTGCAGCCTTGTCATACACAGAAGTTCCTCTGACTGGAGCCACGGCAATGTCAATGCAGCAACTTAAAATCCTTTCAAACTGGAAAAAAAATCCCTGAGAGTGACAAATGAGACTGAGAGAGACTTTAGGTCACCTCAACAATCTTGAACAGCTTTTCTCAACCTGCACCCTCAGAAATCTTGGACAACAACTTTCCATGCTCCCAGGCAACACATCCATCAGCTATGCTGGACATTGTAGTCCAACATATTTGGAAGGCAACAGGTTGTGGAAGGATGACCTAGAACCTCTAAAAGGTAATTTCTGATTATAGAAGAATGCAGACTGAGGCCATTTGGCATCCTAAAGTGTGTCCCAAATTCCCATTAACCCCTTTTTTCTCAGACAAAACATTGACGTATCAACCAACCAAATTACCTGGAAGACTACCATTTCTTTCTTGCTGACAATTAAAAATACAAGATTCTGGAATAATATACTAACTTTTGCTTCCAATCTGAGTAGTAGCCATAGCACCTCATCATATTAGTGTAAGAGAACTGTTCTTCATTTTGTGAACTTTTCATAAATCTCTACTACCTTCATACACCATTCCATTCCTTGCAGCACAGCATGGAATGAATGCAAGTAATAAACTATATGCAATGATGTACATTTTGTATTAAGAAATAGTTGCTTCTTCTACTGGAAAGGCATTTTTGAGCATGTTCCCTTCCATAAGAATATATATATGCTGAAATTCTACAAAAATGAATTCAAGGGAAAAGACAAACAAGAAAGACCATCCTTCACTCACCAGCCTTCTCCTTTTCTGTAATAATTGGCATGGCCTGAGAAAGAAGAAAATGATGTTATATTTTCAGAAAAAGGAATCTAAAATAGAAATAAATGATTACACGCCTCTCTTTATTTCCTTTTGTTCATGTGGAGTAAAATGTATACCTTTGGTGATGGGAACCTGAAAGCAGCATCACAGGGCAGACTTCCCCCAAACTGATGTCTCAGTAGAGCCCCTGAGCATACGAGCATCCAAAAGCATGAATATTTGCATGCTGTTTCTCACACACTCCTCTGCTGCTTATCTGTACTTACCTTTGCTTATATCTCTCCAGTGCAATACATCATACTCACACTGCAGTGGTCTAAGGAGCCTGAACAACATGCAGTAAACACTATGTAATCACCTTGAAGCCAGAACAGTGAACTAAAGTGAGCATGAAATTAAATCCAGGAATGAAAACATTAAAACAGTCCAGGATAAGTCTTCATAGTCAGCAGTAACACTCATTAAAAACACACACACACACAATTTAGAACTAGTGCTCCAATTAGATAATTTTAGATTCTGGACTTAATAGTCTTATGACAGCTCTGCTCTTTAAATAGTACTGTATATAATTTTCCTTCGAAATGTGGTAAGCCATCCAAGCTATATTCACCACACCCCACTATTACTGCTCAGCGGGGCACTGGATGGCTGCCCAAAAGTCCTGTCCTGAATGCACCGCTGCTTATGGCCTAGCAGCGCTAAGCCTTAAACTTAGACTGAACTGCCAACATGTACAGAGATACATATGAGTTACGCAAGTTTCTGACTGGCATCCACACAGTTCATTATAGAGCCTCTCAACTCTGGGTGATCCAAGTTTTGGAGTGTGTTGCTCTAGGATGCTGATGACATCCAGCTCCATTTCTGCTTTTCATCATCAGCAGGTGAGGCTGTGGATCTGCTAAATTGGTGTCTGGCAACAATGGACTGGATGAGGGCTAACAAACTGAAACTCAGTCTGGACAAGGCTGGGATGCTGTTGGTGGGTGCTTCCTTTGACTAGATGGGGTGTTCAACCTGCTCCCCCTGAATTCAGTCAAAGAAGAAACATTTAAAGCTAGAAATCAGCAAATAATCAGTGGGATGCCATACGGTTCCACCCTGTCCCCTTATTTTTTAACATAAAATCACTGAGGGAGAAATCACATTTGGGAGTTATGAATATATATGAAATATATACTTCAAATATATATGAAACGCATATGAAATGCATATATATGAAAGTACAACTTACTAGCAATTATACATAGGATTTAAAAATGATCAGATTTCCAAATAAATGTTTGATATTTATTTGGATGGCATCTACCACCCATTGAAATGCTTAAGCATTATGAGGTCTTCAATCTACTGCATTATAGAAAGTGACTGTTTATTCTGCCAGTGTTGCAGTGTCAGTCATTTAACTGTCAAGAGGACATAGAGAGTTCATTCACATCATGCTGATATGCTAATGTACATTAGGCAGGTAAATAATTTAGAACAGCATGTGCATCAACAAATATTAAATACTGTTCCAGCACAAAACCTATTCTTATCATAACCTGCTCCCCCGAAGAAGCTCCCAAAGATGTTCCCAAACCATATGCTTAAGGGAACAGTTTCATTACTGGTAAGTAGCTGAGTTAGACAATCCCTTATTAAATAGACTTAGTAGTGTCCAGTACACACGAGACAAAAAGTACTGCTTGATTTCTAGGACAGATTGCAGGCCGAGGTCCTGAAGATGCTACTAAACAAGGCTTTTAGCATGCTGTTGTCTTGCCTCAGTCCTAGAATTTTATAGGGGGCCCAGACATTGCTGTCTTCCATTCATAACTCTCCTGTGCTTTCCCACCACTTCCTTCATCTCTCTCCTTACAAAAAACAAGCAAAACCAAAACTATTGAGAACAGAAAGATGGACTAGGTACATGGCATATTTTGCTTGGTAGTGTTTGGAGTCCTCCATTTCAGAGCATTCTAAGAGGATATATGGGCCTCTGGATTCTGGAACATTGTTAAGAGTGTCAGTTTACATCTGATTTCCCCTTTCTTTGAAAAGTTTATTCATTCAGGGCACATGTTAGGAATACTGAAATCTGTAGATCCTTTTTATGTCTATACTAAGCATGCATAGGATTGTGCCCTAATTTTGTAAATTTACTTCTATATCTGAGGATGCCCAGGATGGCTAATAATACTAAAGTATTAATCAATGACAAGCACAGATACAATTTAAATCATTATGAGAAATCAGAGTAAATTTTAAAATCACACAAGAACATAGCGCAAAGAAACTTTGCCTTTTGAGTCTGAGCAGAAACATTAGAGACATAGAAGAGCCACTGCATTGGTTAGCTACTGTAAATGGGAACATTTCCATCTAAAACTTTCTGTGATGCTATTTGGACATTCTAGGAATACATATAGTGGTGTAACTCCTATAGCTACCAAAGTGTCTTTCTAGGTCAGTATTGTCTTTTCTGGCTGCTGACCTCTCTCCAAGGTCTTAGACAGTGAGACCTGCTGTGACGTACCTCCTGATCCTTTATCTGGGAAGGCAAGGGAACGAGTCAGGACTTGGTGCATGCAAACTTGGTATCCTCCCTTGAACTATGATCCTTCACCAACGATGCATGAAATCACACACTAGATAAAAGAAAACTAAACCTACATGTCTTGACAAGACATCAGCATTACTTTTTCTTTATCAAACAGATGTTCTGCAAAGAAAAAAATAAACCCAAACCAAAATATGTTTAATGGGAAAAATACACCTGTGTTAGATAACAGGGATTTCTAATGGAATGGCTCTCTCTCAATAACTGTTTCAGCATATGACGAAGAACAGATGCCTTCTGTATCCCTTTTCCTGTGAATCATTACTAGCTTCTGTTCCCATGTGTTCAACTGTACCAATAAATGGAGTTTGTGAATTCATATGGATATCCATTGTATTTTTAAGACTTAAAAACAAGTCTGTGTGTGTGAATGGTGGGGGAAGATAAGATTGGGGTGCAGGGTTGGTGGGTTGGCTGTGACCAGTAGCTACTATGAAAGCTGGAAAAGGAGCAGAGCAGGGGAATTCCAGAGCAAAATTCAGAATGAAAGGCTTATATCCTTACTGCCAGTAGCTAGATTTTCTCTGACTTGTCTATCCCAAATGTTCTCTGCAATCCAAGAAGCCCTAATCAAGCACCTCAATGACTCTAGGATTCTCACTGGGTTCACTGCTGCCCTTGAGCTTGGAGTTGGTGTGAATTGGAATGGGGAAATTAAGTATTAAGGTGGCTCAGGAGTCAGGATGGTGTTGGCAAGATAATGATCAGGGAGATAAAGCAATAAGTCCATGAGACGGTAAACTTCTATGTCCTTAGGACTATAGTAGATTCTTCTAGAACTCAGTTGTACTTAATTTCTTGACTTAAATCACATCACCAGTGAGGCTGCTATTGGTGGAACTGGGTTCAGCCATGGAGCCATCTGTATGACTTTGGAGCAGACACAGACTCTGAGTCCAGCCTATCTTATAGGACTGTTGTTGTGGGGATAAGACTGAGGAGAGAAGGAGGAGAATTATGTAAGCTGCTCTGAGTTCTTTAAAAGAGAAAAAAGGAGGGATATAAAATAAATATATACATGCCACATACATCAATACAGTTTGATGTAGTTGTTTCCAGTGGTTTAGCATTTAAAGAGTACTTAGTTCAAAGCCACGCTTGTTCAGAATGTACAGCTGAGAACTATGAATAAAGTCACACCCTATGAATGACAAGTACAAGTCTGCCCCTGAACATCTGTGGCCAACATGAATTGGCCTTATTTCAAAAGCTGAATTCCTTCTCTTGGTTTCACTCAAGTGAAAATTAGAAGGACTATCTTTTCTATAAAATAAATAGTTAACCTGAAGCTGTTAGGCTCCAACCCCATCAGCCTCATCAAGGATGGTAGGTTATCAAAGTTGATGGGAATTGTATTCCAGAAGCCCCAGAGCACCAAATATTCCCCATTCCTAATCTAGAGAACTGAGATGGATTTTCTGATAGGATGACTTCCTATTTTGTTTGTTCGTTCCAAGATGGCATGTGATCAGTGTAATCTTTAAAAGGACTTCTGCTGCAAGGCAAGATTTGTGGATAGAGGGACACAATTTGAAAATAACATCTAAATAGTGAATGAAATACATACATTTCTAATTTTTAGATTTTTTTCTAAGATTTTTCATTTATTTTTAAATGATACTACATCAGTTCTATTCTGTTTAATTCATTTATTTTTTGGACCATTCACACACTGTCCACCTATGTTTATTCAGGCCATATGGTATAAGAGTTGACTAGATTTATTCCTCAAACATCACTGGGGTTCCCTTTTGTTCTCTATGTAAGTGGATTAAAAACAGTGTTGCTGGGACCTGGAACACCCAGAGTGGCGGCAGCTAATAATTTTTTCTTTTTCTTTTTCTTTTTTTTTTTAAGACTTGAACTCTGTGGAAGTCTAGAAAGGTACTATGGATTAGGTCAAGAGATTAAAAAATAACTCAGTGCTCTACACTTCTGTAGAAATGTATTACACTTGCCTCATACCCCACTCACTTCTGGCTAACAAGAGCTTTCAGAGAAAGATGATTCAAATTGAGGAAATGACATGGAAGAATTAATTAAACCACATCCCATGATGGTTTGGCACCAATGTAATTTGGGGGAAACAGACCTAAAGTTGCTTTTATATCTAAAAAAATGTCAGGCAGCCAATATCCTGTACTCTGAAGTTCCACCCTATACCTTAAGCATCAATGCAGCTCTGGCAGGTTTGAGCATAAAGTACAGAAAATACGACATGTTATATCGCTTAGACAAAACAAATGAAGGAATAATTCTTTAAGGGATCAGCTACACAAATATTTGTTGAGGTGAAAAACTTTCTGAAACCCATACTTTTTTTTTCTATCACTTCTAACAATAAAGAACATCAATAAAACAAGAGAATTAGTATTTTCTTCAACAACATTAACAACGAA